TGCAATTCCCATCAAAATACCAACACAATTCTTCACAGACCTGGAAAGAATAATACTCAACTTCATATGGAAAAACAAAAAACCCAGGATAGCCAAAAGAATCCTGTACAATAAAACAACCTCTGGAGGCATCACGATCCCTGACTTCAAGCTCTACTATAGAGCTACAGTAATAAAAACAGCTTGGTACTGTCATAAAAACTGACATGTGGACCAATGGAATCAAATTGAAGACCCTGACATTAATCCTCACACCTATGAACATATAATTTTTGAAAAAGAAGCCAAAAGTGTACAATGGAAAAAAGAAAGCATCTGCAACAAATGGCGCTGGCATAATTGGATATCAGCATGTAGAAGGCTGCAAATAGATCCATATCTGTCACCGTGCACAAAACTTAAGTCTAAGTGGATCAAGAACCTCAACATAAAGCCAGCTACTCTGAACCTGCTAGAAGAGAAAGTAGGAAGTAGTCTTGAACATATTGGCATATTCAATTTGTTTATATGGTGACAGATTGACAGATTTTTGTATGATGAATGAAACTTTCATCTCTGGGATAAAGCCTACTTGATCATGGTGGATAAATTTTTTATGTGTTCTTGGAGTTTGTTTGCCAATATTTTATTGAGTATTTTTGCATCAATGTTCATGAGGAAGATTGGTCTATAATTCTCTTTCTTTGTTGCATCTTTGTTTGGCTTGGGAATCAGAGTAACTGTAGCCTCATAGAAGGAGTTTGGTAATGTTCCTTCTGTTTCTATTGTGTTGAAGAATTTGAAGAGTTTGGTATTAACTATTCTTTGAAAATCTAGTAGAATTCTGTTTTGAAACCATCTGGTCCTGGGCTTTTTTTGGTTGGGAGACTTTTAATGACTGATTCTATTTCCTTATGGCTTATTGGTCTATTTAAATAGTTTATCTGGTCTTGAGTTTACTTAGGTATGTGGTAGATATCCAGAAAAATTATTCATTTCTTTTAGATTTTCCAATTTTTTTTTGAGTACAGGTGTTTGAAGTATGACCTGGTGATTCTCTGGATTTCCTCCATGTCATTTGTTATATCTCCCTTTTCACTTCTGATTTTGTTAATTTGGATGCTCTCTCTGCCTTTTGGCTAGTCTGGATAAGGGCTTGTCTATCTTGTTGATTTTCTCAAAGAACCAACTCTTTGTTTCATCAGTTCTTTGTATTGTTCTCTTTATTTCTATTTTAATGATTTCAGCTCTCAATTTGATTATTTCCTGGTCTTTATTCTACCTGGGTGACTTTGCTTCTTCTTCTTCTAGAGCTTTCAGATGTGCTGTTAAGTCACTAGTGTGAGATTTCTCCAACTTCTTTATGTGGGCATTTAGTGTTATGACTTTTCCTCTTAGCACTGCTTTCATAGTGTCCTATAAGTTCAGGTATGTAGTACTTTCTTTTTCATTGATCTCTAGGAAGTCTTTAATTTCTTTCTTTATTTCTTCCTTGACCTATTGGTGATTCAGCTGAGCATTATTCAGTATCTATGAGATTGTAGGATTTCTGTAATTTTTGTTGTTGTTGAAATCTTACTTTAAATCATGGTTGTCTAATGGAGGTTATTCCATTTTTTTTTATCTGTTGAGATTTGCATTGTGACCGAGTATGTGGTTGATTTTAGAGAAGATTCCATGAGGTGATGAGAAGAAGGTACATTCTTTTTTTTTAAGGTTGGAATGTTCTGTAGATATCAATTAAGTCCATTTGAGTCATAACATTAAGCTCCTTATTTCTCTGTTATGTTTCGATCTAGCAGATCTGTCCAGTGGCGAGAGTAGGGTATTGAAGTCTCCCACTATTAATGTGTGGAGTTTTATGTGTGATTTAAGCTTTAGTAATGTTTCTTTTACATATGTGGCTGCCTTTGGGGCATAAATGTTCAGAATTCAAATTTCATCTTGTTGGATCTTTCCTGTGATGAGTAGTATATAATGTCCTTCTCAACCTCTTTTGATTGATTTTACTTTGAAGTCTGTTTTGTTGGATATTAGGATAGCTACACCAGCTTGCTTCTTAATACCATTTGATTGGAAAGTCATTTCCAAGCCTTTTACTTGAGGTAGTGTCTATCTTTGAATTTGAGTTGTGTTTCTTGTGTGCAGCAGAAGGATGGGACCTGATTTCATATCCATTCTGTTATCGTGTGTCTTTTTATAGGTGAATTAATTCCATTGATATTAAGGGATATTAATGACCAGTGATTGTTACTTCCTGGCATCTTTTGGGGTGTGTGTGTGTGTGTGTGTGTGTGTGCTTCTTTTCTTTGGAATTTACTGCTGTGGGGTTATCTATTGCCTGTGTTTTCATGGGTGTATCTGAATTCCTCAGGGTGGAATTTTCATTCTAGTGCTTTCTATAGGGCTGGATTTGTGGACAGGTATTATTTAAATCTGGTTCTGTCTTGGAATGTCTTGTTCATTCTGTCTAAGATGACTGAAAGTTTTGCTGAGTGTATTAGTCTATGCTGGCATCCATGGTCTCTTAGTGCCTGTATTATATCTGTCCAGGTCTTCCTGGCTTTCACAGTATCCATTGAGAAGTTGGGTGTTATTCTGATGGGGCTGCCTTTTTAAGTCAGATGGCCTTTTTCCTTTGCTGCTCTTAATATTATTTCTTTATCCTGTATGTTTAGTTATTTAATTATTATGTGTCAAGGAGACTTTTTTGGGGGGATCTAGTCTGTTTGGTGTTCTATAGGCTTCTTATATCTTCATAGGTATTTCCATCTTCATAGGTATTTCCACCAGAAAAAGTTGGGAAAGTTTTCTCTGCCATTTTTTTGAATATACTTTCTGTGCCTTTGAGTTAGTCTTCTTTTCCTTCTTCTAATCCTATTACTTTTAGGTTTGGCCTTTTCACAGTGTCCCAGATTTCCTGGACATTTTGTGTTATTATTTTTTTGGCTTTGGGTATTTTCTTTGACTGTTGAATCTGTTTCCTGTATTGTATCCTCTACACCAGAAATTCTCTCTTTCATCTCTTCTATGCTGTTGGTTATGCTTGCCATCTGTGTTTCCTGTTCATTTACTCAGATTTTCTATTTCCAGCATTCCTTCTGTTTGTGTCTTCTTCATTGTTTCTGTTTCACTTTTCAGGTCTTTAATTGTTTTCCTCATATGATTAGTTTCTTTTTCATGATTTTCTTGGCTTTTTTAAAGGGATTTATTGATTTCTTCCAATTTTTTGTTTGCCTTTTCCTCAATTTCTTTATTGATTTCTTCTAACTTTTTGTTTGCATTTTCCTCAATTTCTTTAAGAGAATTTTTCATTTTTTTCTTGAAAGGCCTCTACCATCTTCATGACGCTATTTTTGTGGTTGCTTTCTTCTGCTTCTTCTACATTGTGATGTTCAGGTCTTGCTGTTGGAGGAGGGCTAGATTCTGGTGATGCTGTATTACTGTTTATGTTGCATGTATTTTTGCATTGACATCTACCCCTCTCTTCCTTTAATAGGTATAAGAGGTGCTTGTGTCTGAACAAGTTGCTATTGGTCCACTCTGTTATTGTGTGTCTGTGTCTCAGGGGCACCTCTGGGTCCAATCTTACTTAGCTCTTGGTCTAATTGGAGCTGGCAGATTCTGTGTTTCGGGGAGCTGCTCATAACTCAACCCAAGTTAGTCGATACTGTGACTCATGGAGCCATTCTTGGTCTTATTGGGGCTCTTGGTCCATTCAGAGATGACAGATTCTGTGTCTCAGGAAGCCTCTCTTGGTCCAATGAGAGCTGGCAGATTCTGTCTCTCAGAAACCACTCTTGGTCTAATGAGGTCTGGTGGATTCCCTGTCTCAGGAAGTTACTCTGGTTCTAATGTTACCTGGTGGTATGGTTTCCCTACCTCAGGAAGTTACTGGGGTCACAGGCTGTTGGGTATTTCAGCAGGGTGTGGAACTTTTAGATTGCAGGGTCCTATGGGGGGGTTGTGGGGTGTGGTCTTCCCACAGGAGTTTACCCTGCTGGCCAGCAACTAGGGCAGAGTTGGGTAGGGATTCCTGGGGAGCTGACTATGTCCTAGGGCCTGGGTCCTAGGGGCAGGACTCTCTGGGTTTGAGAAGAGTCACTCACCTCTTGGTCCAATGAGAGCTGGCGGTTTGGTTTCCATGTGTCAGAATATTCCAGGATTCACAGGCAGATGGGTATTAGGGCAGGGTGTCTAGGCTGCAGGGTTGGTTCGATGTGGGGTTTTGGTGGGGGAGGCTTCCCGCAGGAGTTTACCCTGCTGGGTGGCAACTGAGGCAGAGTTTGTGGTGAAAGGCTTAAGGAGTTTCTTGTGGGGGAGTCAGAAAGATAATTCATAGCCAAGAACATCATCATGCCTTTGTATTTCCTTTAGTGACTGTTGACAATGTGCATTCCAGTTTCTTGTCTCCATTCTGCAACCTCTTACATGTGCACAGTTTTTCTATCTTAATTTGCCTCACGGCCACAGATTATCAAATCCTTGGAATTTTTAAAGTAAATTTGTAACTAAAGTTTTCCTGTGTCCCACCTGGCCTGCAGCCAGGACAAATGTCTCCCTAACTCTCCAGTCCCACAGCCACTCGGACCCAAATAAACACACACAGGCTAATATTATTTTGAAACTATGGCCATGCCAGGCTTCTTGTTATCTAGTTCTTATATCTTAAATTAACCCATTTTTATAAATCTATACTCTGTCATGTGGCTTGTAGCTTGCCAGTAATTTTACATCTTGCTTCTCATGGCAGTGGATGGCAAGGTATCCTCTGCTCTGTCTTTCTCCTTCCTCTCTACCTGTTTGGATTTTCTGCCTGCCTTTAAGCTGCCATGCCATAAGCCAAATGGCTGTATTTATCAACCAATCACAGCAATGTATCATCACAGCATTAAAGAAAGACATTCGCCCATCATAAATTTCTTTCTGTTTAAAATCCTAACTTCAGATATGTCCCAATTACTGTTTTCATTTATGTATTTTTATAGGTTGACTATATCAAGGGAAAACTGTGGTATAATGAAAAATGTTTTGCAAACAGAGAAAGTTTTGAAGGTAAATTTTATGTCATGTTAGCAGACTTTTATCACTATAGATTACATAAATGCATTAAATTCAAAATTTAATAAAATGTGATAATGATTATATATGAATTAGTGACCTTAAAATGATAAAGCCAAGCTTGGAAGTGGTTTATACTTGTTATTCCTTTAACACTCTGGAGGCACAAACAGGACACTGCAGACTTGAGGCTACCCTGGGCTACAAACTGACAGCTTTTCTAAAAACGAATGGGAGTGACACTCCTGCCTAAATGATCCATTAATAGATGGTGCACTACTGGCATTGGTTTTTCATGGGCAGCTTTACTAACACTAACTCTTCCTAAGGCTGTACGTGTAGATGTCATTCATAATTTCTTCACCTTTGTACTTACAGTTGATTATGTTACTATCACTTTCGACAGAAACAGGACCCTAAGTGAGGTATGACATAGAACACTTTCAAAGGTAGGACATATTGTTAAGCATAATTTCAAGAATAACAATTCATCTAAACTATGGTACTTAAACACACAGGAAAACTTAACCACCCCCAGTGGTGTCTCCTGGTAGACTTAATAGCAGATACCTACTTTTGTTAAAACCCAGTGAGTCTAGCCAAATGATCCATACCAGAGAAGAAAGTTTCTCTAAAGTGTTTTCTGAAATTGAATCCACCCTGAAGAAAGGAATAGATATTAAAGAATTAAGACTATGATTTGTGAGCCAGGTGTGGTGGCACACAGCTGTAATTCTAGCAATCAGTAGGTGGAGGCAGGAGAATCATGAATTCAATATGAACTTGGATTACAAACTAGGCCAGCCTAGGTTCACATAGTAAGAACATGTCTTAAAAAGTCTCTGTATACGTGTGTGTGTGTGTGTGTGTGTGTGTGCGCGCGCGCGCGCGCGCACACGCACATGTGCATGTGAGAGAGAAAGAGAGAGAGAGAGAGAGAGAGAGAGAGAGAGAGAGAGAGAGAGAGAGAGAGAGAGAGAAAGAGAGTGACTGATTTATATGTGGCCTGTCAGAACAACTTAATGATTCATTAGCTTATTTTCTACAATAACTAGTTGTGTTAACAATATTAACTCTTCTTTTCTCTGTTTATAGTCCAGTTCTTGTTTTTATAGTAAAGAACCATTTCTTCACTGGTTGCCTTGCTTACCTTCTACTTCAAAAAGTACAAGATTACTTCCATATGTAATAACATTTCTTATTGACCAAGAAACTAGAACTGGAATTTATTTCTTCCATAATCAGGTAAGTCTTACAGCTCAGAGCTGTTTGCTCTATCACCAAGCACTGCAAATTGTCTTAGCAGACATCATTTCCAATTTGTCATGATCTCAGGAATAGAAACTGAAAAAAATCACTTAAGTTCTATAGAATAGTTTGGCACTGAAGTTTTTTTTTAATTATTTGTCATTCAAGGTGGTGAAAATTAAAGTCATGATGCCAGTTGCTTCCTGATTGTTCTACACTCAATCTCCAGAGGAGTATACAACGAATATTTTTCACACAATTCTAAAGTTCCTTGAAAGGGTTAGTTTAGATGAACAACAATAAAAAAAGGGAACCCATGTCACAGATACATATTTTCTGTTGTATAAGTCCTTAAATGTGGCTATTAATGAGAATTATTCTCAGAATCGTTAGAAAATTTAGGGGTTCTTTAAGTGGCTGTTCACTCATTTCTAAGTGTGACATATAGATCACCCCTCAAAAGGCCATGTAACATTAAAATAAGCTGCTTTTTCATCTGCACTGTTTTTAAGGTAGGGTCTCCCTATGCAGCACTGGGTATCCTCAAGCTCACAGTAATAAGCCTTCTCCTGAGTCTGAGTGTTAGGATTAAAGGCATGTGCCACCATGCCTGCCTATGATGAACATGCTTTAGATTAAACTGATGTTTTCCTGGGGAAAAAGTGTTACTTTTATGGTAGAAAGCTTTCAGGAGAACAACAGAAGAGGAGCAGATAGTAGTGTTTGTCCATGTAACTATCTCTCTCAGAGCCCTAAGACTCCCTGGAAAAAGGATTTAAGATAGATCTTATTTGCTCTCTTTTTTTCTGAGAGTAGATCTGCTGTGAAAATGGATGGAAGTTTCATTTCCAAGAATTTGCTGCTTTTAGTCAAACAAGAAAAGAGCTAAGACAGCTTTCCCCGCTGTGGTATCAGTGAAAGATTTCATCTTAACTTTATCTTTATACCAAGATGGTATTTACAGGGTGTCACAGTCTTATTCCTTCCAAGACTATGACCCAATGGAATTGGGATTTTTGCCAGGTACCCACATGCATCATGCAAGGCATGAGTATGGACACTGGAGTTTATCTGGTTATTTTAGTAATGACTTACAAACCTCTCAATGCCATTTATGATACAACTTTGAACAAATTCCTTAGTTTCCTATACTATATCTCAGCATCTATAAAATGGACAGGTGGGGTTAATGAGTAGAGTTACCAGTCATTGCTAATCTTTCCATTTCTTTGATATGATAGAGGGTATGCCCCGATCTTAATTTAAACTGAATCATGAGAAAGTCTAGAAGTTATAACGTGGACAAAGTATGACAAAATAAGTCTTATGACTTCTTGTGTTTTATCTAGAATTCCAAAAGAATCTCTGTCTCTGTGTCAGTGCTCAAGAATGAGATACCAAATTCTCAACCAAAATTTCCAAATTTCCAATTTCCCTCCTCATTCTATCATCCAGTTGGAATGGTGTTCCATCCCCGAAGCCACTTTCTGTATGTTTATGGCAATCAGGTATGAAGCCATAAAATTTATTCTTTTGTAATTAGAGTAAGTAGTCCAGCTTCTTTAGACTGGGTGACTATGTACATAA